TAGACACAAAGGGTAAAATAGAAATTTTAGAATTACGGAATTCTAAAATTAAATACGCGAAAAATAATTAATTGAGAATTAATTATTATTTAAATAATGTGATTATTTAAATTTGAATTTGAATCATGAACATAATTTAAATTTATCCTTTTAAACTTATTTGATAAGTTGTTCAATTTAGAATTCAAATTAATTTAAGTTTGACTTGAATTTGAATTTGAATTAAAATTGGACTACAAGATAAAGGATGATTTTCTCTTCCTTCCCTATCTGAGATTGGCGTCACACACAGGGATTAAAAACCCTAGCATGGCCGGCCACATAAAGATAAGGTAGAGGAGAATTTTTATTCAAAATTCAAATAGGAGAGAGAGATTTGATTCCTTCTAGAAGTTGGACTTCTACTCTATAAATAAGATATGATGAAAAATTGTGCGTGACAATTTTTTAACCGAGATTTTGGTGGCTGGCCGAAAATCACTAGAGAGAGAGAAGGAAAAAATTTTTCTCCCAAAATTTCCACATCGTGCATGCGTTGGTGTTTGTGGAAAATTTGAGTGTTTGATCTAACCCGTTTTAGTCTCGAGTGTGCCCACACACACGTCTACATAGATTCAAGGAATTGACGTGAAAGACTTTGGTTTTCTAAACACAAGGCTTTGGAGCAAGGATCGTTCGTGGTCAAAGAACTCAAGTTATCATCCGAGTCAGCCTCCAGGTATTTTCTTAATTGAGTTCTTGATATATAAATTAATGTGATTAATTTATTTGTGTATAAATTAATATAATCTATAGAGTATCTCAAAATTTTTATGAAAATTTTTGTTATACTTAATCTGCCCTCCACCACGCTTCCGCATCCGAATTCGATTCGGTTACCAACAATGTTTACTTACTAGGATTGAAGAATTAGAGTGAGGAATGAGAGCCAATCCCATGTTGACTTGCTCTTTTTTATTCTGAAATGAGAGTGAGATTGATGGACCCCACTCAAATTTGATATTGAGAAATGAGATTGACACTCTCATGCCCCTTCTTAGGATTGGAACTCACATTCCTGATATTAATATTAAATTACTATCATACCCTTATTTTACTTACAAATATAAAATTCAAAAAATATTAATTACAATATATATTTATTATTTTATTTACTTAATATTATAATATTAGCCTAATTATTGTTAACTTTAATATAATAAATATGTACTTTATTTGTTTAATAATTAATAATATATTTTAATTTTTAACACTATTTTGTATTTTATTTAAATGTTAACAATTTATTTTTATATTTTAAATAATTGTACAATTTATATTTATTATTTTATTATCTTATTATTATATTAAATATTTTAATTATGATTATCTTAATATAATATTTAATAACTACACAATTTATTTTTTAAATTAAAAATATAAAATCAAAGCATATATTAATATTTTTATACTATTTTATTTTAATTTTAAATATAAAGAAATACATGAATAAAATTTAAAGTGATTTTAATTCACTTTAATTCATACAAATTCTGATAAACATGCCACTCCTATCTGCCACATATAAGTTAGGGTTGGGTGGGACCCTTTAGCACCTGAAATGAGGTCCTCAGCTTTTCAAAGGTGACCTATCACTTACCTCACCTACTGACAAAGTAAGAATCCTTTCGTCCAGTCTTGGTCTAAACACGTGTCAAAATCGAACGTGGAAAGACTGCGTGGTCCATTCAACCTTAGTGTGCACCCATCAACACATGAATTCTCCCCGTGTACCAAACGAAGGGATATTCCTCTCGCGCTCTCCATAATTACACAAATTCCACAATTCTCTTACCAATTTACCATTTTAGGCTCACCTTTCTCTCTTTCTCTCTCCTAATAATTTACCTTCTTTTGCATTATCATTACACGACAAACCCTACACGGGCCCACAAAACCAATTAAAAACCTACCAAATATAGTAAAAACGTCAGCAAGGGCAAGATGGTAATAATAAGCAGCAGACGGTCGTGATCAAAACCATGGAGATGGGACCCACGTACCTGGCAGAAAAACCCTAAAATAAAACAATTCGACAGTCATAAGCCAGGACCACCGGAGGATCTGACAAGTGTAACCCTAAAAAACCGTCGATTGATTTGAGGCAAGCCTATCAAAGGGACAAAAAGGAAAATTCACTAGACGAGTTCCACTATATAATGAGTAGAGAAGGGCAGGCGGTAAAGAAGAAAAAATAGTGTTTGTTTTCCGAGAAAATCCTAAGGCTTTGGGAAGCTTTCTCGGGTTTTTCTCTAAGCCGAAGCAGAGAAATCCCTTCTTTAGGGAATGCAGAGAGATGGGAGGAGCTTTGCTAACGAATCCTGAGATTTGTGGGCGTGCCAAGCGGTGCGTCGGCGGCAGGAATTGCCACCGGAAGCACGTCGAAGACGGGTGATCGGAGAAAAACCAGAAAAGTTTTCGTTTTCCCTTATTTTCGCCATTTTCCGACTCTCCAAACAACACTCCATATTAAGATCCTCTGTATATAACTAAAATACCTTTCTTAGTTTGTGTGTTTTCTTCTGTAAAATACTCGAAAAAATGGGCGAGAAGACCAGTAACAAAGACGGAAACTCCACTCTGCTCCATGGAAAGTACGAGCTCGGTCGTTTCCTAGGGCACGGAACCTTCGCGAAGGTCTACCACTCGAGGAATCTCCAGACCGGGAAGCGCGTGGCGATGAAGGTCGTCGGGAAGGAGAAGGTGATCAAAGTCGGGATGACGGAGCAGGTGAAGAGAGAGATCTCGGTGATGAAGATGGTGAAGCATCCAAACATCGTCGAGCTCCACGAGGTTATGGCGTCGAAATCGAAGATCTACTTCGCGATGGAGCTCGTCCGCGGCGGCGAGCTTTTCTCGAAGATCGCCAAAGGACGGCTGAAGGAGGACACCGCCAGAGTCTACTTCCAGCAGCTGATCTCCGCCGTCGATTTCTGCCACAGCCGCGGCGTCTACCACCGCGATCTGAAGCCGGAGAATCTCCTTCTCGACGAGGACGGCAACCTCAAGGTCACAGACTTCGGCCTCTCGGCCTTCTCTGAGCATCTCAAGCAGGACGGCCTCCTCCACACCACTTGCGGAACTCCGGCCTATGTCGCGCCGGAGGTCATCGGAAAGAAAGGCTACGACGGCGCAAAGGCCGATATCTGGTCCTGTGGAGTAATTCTCTACGTTCTCCTCGCCGGATTTCTTCCATTTCAGGATGATAATTTGGTCGCCATGTATCGCAAGATCTACAGAGGAGATTTCAAGTGTCCGCCATGGTTTTCCCCTGAAGCTCGCCGACTAATCACGAAGCTTCTAGATCCCAACCCTAGCTCGAGAATCACCATTTTCAAAATCATGGACTCGTCCTGGTTCAAGAAATCGGCACCGAAGATTCTAAAATCAAAGCAAGAGCAAGAATTCGAAGAGAATTGCGAGAAGGCAGCCAAGCAGAGCGAGACGCTTAACGCCTTCCACATAATCTCGTTATCGGAAGGCTTCGATTTGTCACCGCTGTTCGAAGAGAAGAAGAGGGAGGAGAAGGAGGAGCTCCGGTTCGCGACGACGAGGCCGGCGAGCAGCGTGATTTCGAAGCTGGAGGAGGTGGCGAAGGCGGTGAAGTTCGATGTGAAGAAGAGCGAATCGACAGTGAGGCTGCAGGGGCAGGAGAGCGGTCGAAAAGGGAAGCTGGCGATCGCCGCGGAGATCTTCGCCGTCACGCCGTCATTCCTGGTTGTGGAGGTGAAGAAGGACAATGGTGACACCCTTGAGTACAACCAATTCTGCAGCAAGGAGCTCCGGCCGGCGCTTAAGGACATCGTCTGGACGTCGCCGCCGGATAATTCGACGATTGCTTAAATGACATCGACGGCGGGGGCGACGACAAGGACGACTTTTGAGTCCAAATTCTGGAATTATTGTCGGTTGATTCGAACATTGTTGTGGCTATTTGTTTTAGAATTACTTATTAGAAGATGGTAATTGAAAACTGGGATTATTATCATAATTTCCGTTTCAATTTGCTTGTGTTGTGTCATATGGCTTGAATTATGGAATGTTTGTTGTCTTTTTCATGGGCCTTGGGTAATAATTTCAGTGAATCAACAAACAAATTTGTTGATTTAATGTGATTGGTGATGAATTATGTTTTTATGTGAATATATGATCTGGTTTCTCTGGTTTGCTTCACATGGGCTATGCTTTCTTGTTGGACGTGATAATAACTTGCCAAGCAAAAAGCAAAGAGGAAGATTGGTTACATGTGAAGTGAACAAAAAAACTTTAGATTGTATTCTCTTTCTCTCGAGAAAAGATTCAAAAGAGGGCCAATTGCTTTGGCTGTAATTCAACTTTAATTTCTACGAACTTTAAATAATGTTCATTTAACTTTCAACATCGAAAGAGAGACCTAACAATTTTGATGAATATTGCATATTCTATTGCAAGCAAATTAGGACTTGTTGACTAAATTTTCATGAAAAGGCAAATTCCTCTTTTTGCTTTAATTTAATTTCTACCTAACTTGGGCGTTCCTTAAACTTTCAATAGCGAAATAAAGTACACGAATTTTTTATAAATAACTTTTTAAGTAAATGATACGTAGACCCTCAACAGATTATTATGGTTTCCACTTCTTTTGCATTTGGGTGCTGAAAATTCAAAGCTCATCTCAAAACGTCTATTATCACTTCTCTTTTAAGTTTCCTTTTCCTTTCTTTCTTTGGGGCATACAAGAGAATTATGTAACAGAATAAATAAACATAATTAAGTGGCAAAGCATAATTTCGATTTTTATTAATTTTCGAAGAATTGTCTACTTATTTTAATTTGATACTTTCAGAACTTATGTGAGCAGTTTTTTGTCCCGCATATTCAACTTCTTAAAGCCAAATTGATGAAATATTTATCGAAAGAAGAAAGTCCAAGGCAAATTGATGAAAAATTGATCGGACGGTGGGAAACGTTCCGGGGAGCTAGGTGCCTTTCCACCACAAAGTTTCCCATCATTAGCTATGTAGCTCTGCGCTTGAATTATTGTCCTTCTCTATCACCATCAAGATTCTTACAGCTTTTTTTTCTTCACGGCTCTTTTTTACTTTTGCACTTTACAATCCTATTATACGTCTTGTATGTCTATTGGGGCAATCACGTTTGGTCATGTGGTTTTAGTAATATGGGAGACGGCTCTACTAGGCATACAAGACGTATAATTTTATAGCAATTAAGGAGATAACCAAAGTTTTGAAGCATAAATAACTAGGTTTGCAACTTCAAATGGAAAGAAGTTTTTTTGGCAGTTAACTGCGGGTAATAATTGCTATTTTAACAGTTAGATTAAGATTTTAATAGTATAATTTATGAGTGTCTACGTTAAAAATATGTAGTGTGCGATATTAAACTCCTACAATCATAAATCAGACCGTTAAAAACTTAATCTAATAGTTAAAAAAGACAGGTACTATAGAAATTTCATGTAGTGTGGACTATATTACAAATCTTTGAGCAATATTGGAGATTTCACCAACACTTCATCACTTTAATGGAACGAGTTGGGATCCATGACATTTCTTTTAGATTATGATGATACCCTTTTGCCTAAATTTGAAATAACTTGGTATCAAAACTGTAATGGCTAAATTAGTACAATGACGACGTGGGAAGGAAAATAATGGGAAATGATATGGATTATTTAGAAGATCATATGAGGTCTTCGTCAACTTAGCAGGCTGGACAGTTCTTCCAAAACGGCTATACTACCTTCAATAATTTTTTGAAACGCACTATCAAATAACTATGGATGAACCCACCACAAGCATGATTGTTGTATTACTTTTTCCAACTGCAAATTTGATTGGGGAAAGTGATATCTGCCCCAATCATGGATGTCATACACATATCTATGTGTGTGTGTATATATATATATATATATATATTATATACTTACATATACATACATACACACCCACATGTAATGGCCCTACTATATAGTAGTTAAGAACTCATTCTAGTGTGCAAGTGGTGAAACACTACAATGAACAATTGGCTCAATAACAGTTTGCCATTTAATTTGATTTATGTAGAGAGAAAAGAAAAGAAAAAACCCATTCTTTTTATGCTGCAGGTATATGATGCTTTTCTAGTAGGATTAGAAAAAATTAGCAATGAATAATTCTCTATTTTTAGGTATATGAAAAACTGTCTGTTATATATATTTTTATAATTTGATGTGATTTTAATCAGATTTAACAGTTATAAATTAGCACTGACACTCATAAATTAGCACGACTAATAAGACTGTCCTAGAAGAGAAACACCCGCAGGTATATCAACGTTAGATAGTTTTTGTGCGCATGGGGAATAGAAATTGCACTTACAATTTCCTTCTCTTAATTCCCTACTCTTGTTTCCTCAGACACACCAGCCATTCAATTGGGGTTTTCCTTTTCTTTTCTATTTTCGTCATAGTAATACAAATATAATCGTTTGTTTATCAAATTTGTTTAAATTTATCTTTCTTTAAATTTCGGTTTTGATTTATGCAAATTGCATAGTTACATGTACGATAATTATTTTTTCTGGTTTAATCCACGAGATTTTTTTGTTTTATTTTAAGTTTAATGAAAATTTTTTTATAGAAATTTATTTTCAGAGGACGCCAACTCATCAGAAATCCTAAATCAGGAGCTTCAGGTGGGGAAAAAGAAAAAATAAAGACGGCAAAATCACAAATGTAATTAGTGAGAAATTTAGATATCTGTTAATAATTAAACTAGTTGGTCATACACAAATACACACATCTCTCTAATACCGCACCCAGTTAGACATATTAACATAATTCTACTGATCATTTTGTTGTAATAAATACATATTGTTTAGTTGATATCATGCAAAAACCTTCAAGAGAACTATAAACTATTACATGACAATGGCACTAAATTGGTATCATACTAAACCATTAATCAGCAGTGTTAAGACAATACAAAATAAACTAAACTAAAATATAATTAGTACCTCGTACTAAAGCAGACAAATATTTTCATTTTTTTAAATTAAAAATCGAATATTTCAACAGTTTAATTTCTTGCACCTGTGTGGGGGAGGTGACTTTCACATTTATAATTCTTTAATACCACACTTTGAGTTAATCATAATTTATTTCATAAATATTAAATAATGTGGGCCTGAAAATAACGGTTCATGTTTGTACAACTAGGATTTCCATCCATGGAATTGAAATCATAATAAAATGGAACAAATTTGAAACTGGCGATAATTATTGATAAATCCCATCTAACTAATGACAATTACGAATCGTTTCCAACACAATTAATACATAGTCAGCCATATAATCATGTCGCTAAGTGAGACATAGGACAAAATCTATCATATTCAAGACGGTGAAGCAAATAATAACTTTCATTGATTGAAATCATGGAAATGAAGGTTTGGTTTACAAGCAAATTGACCAAATTGATTAAATTAGTGATTGTTATTATTTATTCATGCCGTTTCTATATATATATATATATATATTCCCTTTTCGGCTTAAATATTATCACCTGTTAGTAATGAATGGAATAGTGAAGAGTGGGGAATTTACATTAGACTGGACCTAAACCATGGTTCAAAACCCTTCTTTACGAGGAAATTTGAGAGGAAGATAAAATTGTTGAACTTTTGGAGTTTTAACAATTATTAATTGATAATATTCTTTTGAATAATATAGTTATTTAAGTAAAAAAAATATTAATCAAACCTAAAGAGTGAAAATCCATAGTCATGAAAATCCATAGTCATGCAGTAAAGAGTATTTATCTCTTTTCCCTTTTTTCCCTTTTGAGAAATGCCATAAATGGCAATGAGCTGCGGTTTTCTGACAATTTTATTGGAGGTTTGGATTTCTAAAATTTCAAAACAATAGTCAAAAGGTACACGAAATGCGCTGTATAGAAATTGCATCCACCGATTAGAGGTAACCTACCAGATTATCACTAGTAATTTATCAGATTTCACCAGAATCAACAATGACCACTAGTTGTCGTCATTGGAGACTAATCCGGTAGGTTATTGTCAGTAATCCACAAATTATTTCTAGTTTTTCTACAAATATTGCCCGTCTTTGTCTATTCAATTGTTGGGGAGTAATTGACTAATTAATACCTGTAATCTCCTGGATTACCATTGATAATCTAATTATTTCAACTTTTTTCAACAAATATTATTGGTCTTGTCCATTGTTTACAAGGAGTAATTTGGTAGATTATTTTTTTGAGCTGGTAATTTGGTAGATTATGATGGGTAATATACAATATTATTCATATTTTTCAACAAATATTATTGGTCTTGTCCATTGTTTACAAGGAGTAATTTGGTAGATTATTTTTTTGAGCTGGAAATTTGGTAGATTATGATGGGTAATATACAATATTATTCATATTTTTCAACAAATATTGTGGCGAATATTCTTTTGATTAGCCGTTTATTATTAAAAGAAAAACATTTGGAATTTCGGAATTAAGGTTTTCTTTTTTGGGTTCTAAACGTGTTCGATTTCTGGAAATTTGAAATCATATTCAAAACTTTTTTTTATGGTCAAACTATTTCTAAAAGTAATAGAGATTTGTTAATTTATTTTTGGAATGCTTTCTTTGCAGAAATTACTTTCTTGTTTGGTGTGCAGGTAAATGATATTCTAGCTTCAATTTTTCTTAAAATTCTGGATTTGATTAATCATTTTTGGAAACTTGTCTACTTGATCTATTGACGAAAGATGTGTTGCTTGTTTCTTTCCTTGACTTATCGGATCTCAATTCTAATTATCATCTCTCTATCAAATGTGTCATTTTTTGGAAGGTTATCAACTGCATGGTCTTTTTTAGTACGTGAATATGAATACGATTCAAATCAGAAAAACCTGGATTCGTTCTTTGTTGCAGATTTCGTCCTTCTACAAATGGGAATCCGTTTGTTAATTTGGCTTGAAAACACATCTTAAATAGTGCACATCTCTGGATGTTCTAAGCATAGTAAAAGTGGGACTGAACCTTTTAATATCATTTGTTCTAAACTGCTGAATTCTTTTTTAAGTGAATGAAAAGGATGCGGATGAACTTTTGTATGGAACATTTGTCATAAAATTCTTATGTATTAATCTAGGGTTGCAAATTTTTCTTTATCTTGTTAAAAAA